TTAAAAAGAGTGAAAAACCTGATTTGGGATATGTTGCATTTGCCCCAAATCTAAGGCACTTAGAGAATTTTAAAACTCATTCCTCAATATCTGAGCTTCAGAAGGTAAAATTTCCAGGAATGACAGTATCGTGCTGGAAACATTAGTGTGCCGGCAGGAAATAATATCATTCTGTAGGAGGTAATAAAGGCATGAATTATGTCAAATTGTATTTGGTTCGTGGATGTTACTATGCTTCTTATGGGCAGATACAGCTAACAGGCACAAGAAATACCTGCCCGTCTCCCTCAGAAAATTAAAGTCATGTGCACAAACATCAGCCTGAGAAATTAGAGGACTGTTTGTGGCAAAATGAAAATGTGCAGTGTTTTAGATATATCTTCTAAGGATAAGGAATATCTCTTGTTACAGCAGAACATAAATTTTCTCCTGGTCCTCATTGTAGAAAGAACCATTAAGCATGTGGTGGCTTCTACTCCTGTTAGGTAATATAATATGTTAAATGAACTTGCTGCTATGCTATATAGTGCCACCATTATGGACTCTAGCCATTAAATGGTTTGGGGTCATTGGCCATCTCAGTTAATGTGAGGAAGCTATTCTTAAGTAAAATGTACAATGGCATCTCTCATTGAAATGGGCCAGTTTCAAATGATATGCATCATTATGCATGTGTCAATGTACACGTGTACAGGTTTTCCTGCATTTATTCATTAGGGGAAGAAAACCGTCAATTTTGTAAAGTTTAAAGAAAGTATTTACAGGTGCCATTGTGTGCCAAAGTTGTTGAAAAGTTTGAGAAAAATGTGGCACAAAGAAAATGCAAAACTCTATGAGCATCATTGTGATTTAACCCTTTTGGAGCCAAAGCACTAACAGGGAAAAGCTGCCTTTCTCTTCTTTCACCCTCTCTGCAGATGCATATAGATGACACCACAAACAGAACCATCGCTCCTGCTACAACCTCGATAATAATGGGCTCAGTTAATCTACACAACGTAGTCATCCTCTCCAAAAGTAATTCACTTCTTTAAAAACTGGAAGGAAAATAAATATGGTGCAGTAAAATTGTTGAGTAGAGGAATCTATCTGGACATTTCACAAAACATTTCATTATGCTGACAATTCCCAGAAGTACTCTCAAGAGTGCTTTAAGCTGAGGATTACTGCTCTGGAGCTGATGGACTTTTTTTGTAGCCCCTTTAAAAGGCAGTGAACCGTTTTTCTATTTTATTTAAATAATGCCCCTTAAAATGGATTTTTAGAGGTATAATAACTCCTTAAGAGTCAGTTATGCTAAACAGTTTCTCTTGATAGAAATGTTGTAAAACTCGTTAACTGCACAATTTCAGATGCCGGCTTGGTGAACACTAACTGACATGTGAATGACCAGAGTTTGTAAAATAAATTGCAATAGTTGTTGTATCACACAGCTAGCATTGCACAAGCTGGAGGCCACGAGGGGCTCCAGCCTGACAGAAAATTACTTCAAGATGAATGAAAAGTGCTTGTTTCTCTTTATTAGTTTTTAGAGAACAATGAAAATGTGGAATTGTTTACAGAGAGCTGATTAAATGTGGTCAGTGGGGCCACGTCCCTATTGCTAACTGTTGGCCTCCCCCTCCCTCTGGCCCCCAACCTACATACTCACACACCACACCACTGCAAGCACCCTCCTCACCCTGCCCCCTCCCGCAGCCCCCTGCCACATGCATCTTCTTATAGGCTATTATGGCTGCACATCTGTGTGTGAAATGTGCTCATTCTGACATTCCACTGCTGCTCGGTGCTGCAGAGGCCTTTGTTAGGTAAAACACTGTTGTCAAGTCTAACAAGCAGGTCATGCAATTTGCTGGACACTGTGGCAGAGAATAGCCCACGATGGATTGCTTCAGCCTCAGACAATGCTCAGTTCCATATTGGAATACATGCATATTTCTTTCATTGTGCAGCACTACAAAAACTCAGGACATTTTGGTTTTCTTAAGGCTTTAATTTTGTAAAAAAGTAAGTTCCTTGTATTAGACTATCCCAGAATAGCCTGTTTGCCGATTTACTTAGGATAACTACTGTCTTATGGCTAAAGGAAAAAGGCATGAAGTGCTTTAATTGGTCATTTGTGGCTTAAATTCTATTTATGTGTGACCAGAAAGCACAGCAGAGGAAAGGCACTAGCTACCACCTTACCTGACTGACTTGTGTATTAATACTTAAAGGGGTGGTCAAAATCAGGGCATTTAGGAGGATGTTGTGGAGAAGGACTCTCACTACATATTTCCACAAAGTAAAGAGACCTTGATGGAAAGAAATATGAGAACTCATTAATAAGCATATGTCAAGCACAGAGAAACTAGTCTTCTTACCAGACCAAGCTAAATGAATTAGATCCAAAAGATGTTTTGGTAAACAAAAAAATTAAGGAAAAGCAAATCACTACCATTCAGCTCAACAAACAGCCTTCCATGACCCACAACCTACCTTGCTCCTAACCTCTTCCTTATACACTTACACACACACGCTGGAAAAATCAGCAGTAACAGGGAGCAGTTCAAATGCTATTTGTGGCATCCCAACACAATACATAACACACACCCCAAATGTGCAAGTAGGATTCTCTCCCGCTCTGTGCAGAACATGCATTCTGAGCCTATTATGTGTATAAACAATGGCATATGTAATTACCTTTCTAGGGTGGCAATTATTCCTCAGAATCAACAACCAGAGTTAAAGCATGTTCCCCCAAAAGACATTTGGGGATCAATTCTGGGTCAATTACGTCAGGCTTTGATTTATCATATGGTGTCAGGCCATGTTAAAAAAAGTAAGTTGAAAAAAAAAAGCTGTTTAAGGTAAAGGCCAGCGGTTTGACTCAAATTGGTTTGTTTCCGACTTTGCTTTCTCCCAATTGCTCTGCCCTTCCTCCATTCTCAAAACAACTGTGATTTGCTGGGTTTTATCTGTTAGACAGTTGGCTGTTCAGGAATATTAAATGCAGTAAATCTGGACTACATAAAGATTTTGTCTACCCTACACACACACACACACACACACACACACACACACACACACTCCAGGCACTGGGACTTTCTCTTAGTATACGGCACAGAGTAGGGATGATTAGTTCAGGCTTTGGTCTAAGAGGTCTGGATTTGGAGTCCCACAACTTAAGCAAGATACATACCTCCACAGCTCATAGGGCCTACTTCAAATTGTTATTGTGAGGTTTAAAGGAGATAATTGAGAGAATATATGTAAAGTAGCTCAGTGCCTGACACACCATGAGTACCCTATGAATAGAGAGATTGCTATTCTGTTGACAGATGGGCCAGCGCATGAGAAATGGAGCAGCCCCTCCAAAAGACTTGTCCATGCGTCGAGAGTGGGCCAGGGTCCAGGGCAGCCGAGTGGACGTTGGTACAAATAACAGGGCTGAACTGGCAAATTCAAGATACCAAATAAGAGGCCCAGAGGACTAGACTATATAAAAATATCCAGTTTAGTGCTTGCTTCGGCAGCACATATACTAAAAAATATCCAGTTTATTTGGATTAATTCTAAGTAGACTGATTATAAACTACCAACCCCTAAATAGCACCAATAAAGGTACTATTCCATTAGCAAGACTACGATAGGCACCAGGAATATACAGATGGACCCTCCAAGAAATCTTCCATAACAGGAAATAAATACAGTTTATTATAACACAAGTTAATAGTTAAGACTTCCTGGAAGATACTTCATGTAAACTGAAAGTGGCATAACAAATATCCAGTATTGCTACCAGGAGTTTAGGGATGAGGCAATTCAGCCTGTAATGGATGAATCTTATCATTAAAGTTACCAGTCCAATTAGAGCTATTCTTTACTGAGGAACAAATAATATTTTTTTAGAAATTAAATTAAAAGGGATAATATGAGAATTCTCATCACATTATTTATGGAGCAATATAATCCCTCATTCAAAGAACATTTTAAATCCAGTTTATATGGAGCAACATTGTTTATTTAATAAGATGGAAATAGCACTTACACAATGCATTTCTCAGGCAGCACACAGTGCTATTGGCAGTATGTATTGGCAGCTTAATTAAGAAGTCTGTTGATGATGTTAAAAAAAAAGCTGACACATTTTCAATTCAGATGGACACTCCTCAAGACAAAGACATGTCTATTGTTGGCTCATACATACCAAAATGTGTCACAGACACTACATAAAATGTCTGGTGTCTACAGTTATATCAGTGTCTTTACACTGGGAAAATCATGACACACTTATACTCAAGTCAGAAATAAATTTTTGGAAAAACTGGACAGTCATTTAACTTATGGAACACAAAGGACAATACAATGAATACTGAAATAATTACTTAGGCAAATTTTCATAGAGCCATTGCCCAGATGGGTTTTGTTCCATCCCTCTCCTATCTTGGGTATCTCAGTACCACCACCCACGTTTGACCAAATCTTCCTTTTCTTCATGCTAATAACTCACTCAGAATGGCAGGCTCCTGGGACAGGGGTCCTCAAGCTGTGGATCAGTCTGTGGGAGTCCATGGCCTGTTAGGAACCAGGCCGCACAGCAAGAGGTGGGTCAGTAAGCATTGCCACCTGAGTTCTGCCTCCTGTCAGGTCAGTGGCAGCCTGAGATTCTCATAGTAGTGCGAACCCTACTGTGAACTGCACATGTGAGGGATCTAGGTTGTGCACTTGTGAGAACCTAACTAATGCCTGATGAGCTGAGGTGGAACAGTTTCACCCCAAAACCACCCCCCACACCATCAGTGGAAAAATTGTCTTTCAGGAACTTGGTCCCTGGTACCAAGAAGGTTGGGTACCGCTGCCCTAGGGGGCATGGAAGGTAGCGGACTATAGAGACAACAGGTAAAATTCACCTCCCCACTCCCCAAGAAATCCACAAACAATATATTTTTCCAACAGACAATCTATACCTAAGAGGAGAAAATAGAATTTAATGCAAATTAACTCAAACTATAATTGTATTAATATCTCTAAAGTCTACTGAATATTTATGGAATCAATAAAATGTATCTTATCAGAAGTCCAACAAAAAAAGGGGGATTAAAATGTCCCGAGTTGCCCATGTTAGGAGTTTTGGGGTTTTGTTTTGTTTTTTATTAAAGAGATTTAAAACACTTACAGAATATACTTTTCCATTCATTTATTTCTTGTCTTAGGGATAGACCTAATCAACAGCAGAAGAAAAAAAAAATGTACCCTGAAACTAACTCTAAATTTATTGAGGACAGGCCCCACATCTTTGTTGCCCTCATTTTCTTCCCCTATTTTGTACAGTGGTTCACACATAGTAAGTACTGAATTAAGTTGAAAGGCAATGCATGTTTTAATTCACATTAATTTGGAGGGGTTGCACTGATTTAAGGAGCAGCTGAGATAAAAAGGCTAACTTCGATCTTTTCTGATTTCTAGCTAGTGTGGCACACCATCTTGTAAACTTCCTCTGCTGAACCACTGCTGTCTGCTGTGGCATTCTAAATGTCTTGATTGGTTTCCGCTTTTGCTGAAGGTAACGAGATGGTTTTCCAGTGGTTATCTTTCCAACAAGAAAATGTGCAAGGTGATTTGAAGCAGGTTCTCAGTGGCTATCTGTCCCAGTCCTAGAGGCAGTGTATCTGTGGACAAATTGAAACCAATTATTAATCCAGGCCTTTCTGAGAACTTTTCAAAAGTACAAAGGTTAGCCTTTCACCGATCACTAAAATGTTATTTAGCTCAACATTTCAAAAACAACCAGGATCTCTTAGGGTGGTGATACTGTCTAAAACTTTACCTCCCTACTTTAAATAATGATTTTGAAATCTATCTCACCCTCAGGCACAGATCCAAGCCTAAAGAAATCAGAAACATCACATACATGCATATTTGGAAAAGAAAGTTTCCCTACCAGGTAAGGATTCTGCATTTTCATTCCTTGCCTTTATAAGTAGGAAAATCCGCATTCGTGGTCCTAAGCCTTACCCCTTTGTGAATTGTAAAGTCCCTGCCTATGTCCCATCCTGTGGCACCATATGGATGGCTGGGAAACAACAGCTGCAGATAGAGAAGTGTGCTGTGAAGCAATCAGCCAGGCAGAAGCACACTTTCTTCAGCAGAGACTCTGAACCAGCCAGGTGGGTCAAAGACAGAGGCATACACGAACACTTGAAACATCAGCTAGGTAACGGGTCCCACGAGAACACTATGGAAGTATCCAGTCATACCTTGTATATTAATTACATTATCATGGACCAGAAAAGAGAGGCATCTTTACGAGAAATATTTCGACTCATTCACATGCTCAGGGGCTGCTTTCTCTTTGAATTGTCTTATTGTAGACCCTGCCTCCACCACCTCTCCTTGCTAAGGCCCTCTTCTTCTCAGCCTGGAATCAGATGGCATCCTAGTTAGGCCTACACCACCTCTGCCATGTCTCAATTCCTTCCAAGTGATGCTACCTCCTCTGGGCCTCTACCGCAGTTATTCATTCTGGGCTCCCTCTGAGCTTGGGCCCCTGACATCTACACTTAAAAGGCTAGCACTTCCGTAACCTTCAACCCATCCTCATCACAGCCGGCCTTAGAGAAGCAACTTCAGCCCAGCAGATGGTGAGACTGGAATTCTATAGTTGACCACAAATGCATTCAGTTGCACTAACTTTACATTCCTTCTTCATTTCTCCCTGTTTTCCTAGCTCCAAACACTTTGACTCAATCCTCACAGCTGGTGTCTGCCCTGACTGGATTTTCTGTTTCCTACAATGCCTTATGCCTTGCCCTGAACTTAAAATCTACTTGACTAGGGCCCTTATAAAACTCTTCCCTAGATTCCATTCCAGGCCCCCAGCTGCAAGCTGGGATCCAGCTGTGAACAGACTGCCTTCTTCCATGATAGCACCCCTCCTGACTCAAAATCTCACCTGACATCTACAATTCTAGTGGCCCAAACCTCCTGCTAAATTAAATCTCAGGTATCAACACCTTCCCTGAACTAATCCCAAGATCATCACATCCATTTGGTCACTAAGGATTGGGCTGCTGGCTCACCCTAGTGAAACCAGGTTCCCAGTCCCTAATACACCTAATGTTGGCTTCCTCCTGTTTCCTGGAAACCTATGCTGCTGAGACCCTTCATAGGAACCTCCTCTGCCCAGCCTAGACAAATGATAGCACTATACACATGATTATTCAGTCAGTTATTAATTTATTCTTACCACATTCTATTATTAATGGCCTCTCCTATAGCCTAACCCCTGCCTGATTTTTGACATCTTCCAGTTTCTTATTTCACTTCATTTTCTAGTGTCCAACATGAAGTCTCTGCTTCGAGCACACAGGTCTACTAACCTCTAAGCTCATTCTGAATCTTTGTTCACATTCTCTTTTCTGCCTTCTTAATTAGCTCCAAAATTTTCATCCCTTGGCCTGACACTTGTGACACAATCTAAAAAGTCTTCCCCAAGAAGCAAATCCACATGAATTTATCCCTTATCTGGATTCCTTCAGAATAATCAATATCATACAGTTTAGCACTTGATTTTAACTAAATGTTTGGTAAACATTACCTTCCCCAAAAGACTGTGCTAGCCCTTTGAGAACTGGATAAAGGTCATGTCTTGTACTTATTATGCTTTCTCCAAAGTGCATGGTGCTGATCTCTAGAAGGAGAAGGAGAGGAAAGTTCCACCCCATCTTCTCCTTACCTCTACCCAATCCCATCCCCAAGGAGGAAAAGACACAAAATGACTGAATCAAGTTACCCAACTCAGTTAAACTTTTTCTTTTTTTGTTTTGTTTTGTTTTTTTGAAATGGAGTCTCACTCTGTCTCCCAGGCTCGAGTGCAGTGTTGCAATCTCGGCTCACTGTAACCTCCACCTCTCGGGCTCAAGCAATTCTCCTGCCCCAGCCTCCCGAGTAGCTAACTTTTTCTAAGAGGGAGGAGCTTTTGGTGTACTAGGAGAAAATGTTAAAGCTTTAACTTCTGTGGGCTCTCGCCTCTTTGGGGTTCATCTCTTTAAGGTTCTCACTCTCTTTGGATTGCTTCTTTCTACTTCCACATGGCCAGTGTGATAAAACTGGACTGAAGCTGCCTCTGAGCTGAGCTCAACAGAGACTGCTTTAGGTTTGGAGTAGGAGGGCTGGGGCCCAGGTAGCCTAAGAACTTATGTGTATATATTAAACACTTGAGGTGTAGCCTGTGCTCATCTCCTCTGAGTACCCGTGGCCTCAAGAAACACGTGGGCAAGGATCTGAATGCAATTAGTATCTAAGTATCTTCTCAATGAAAATGTACTGATTTTTCTATAGTAAACATCTAAATTACATCAGAATAGACCAAGAATTCTGAGAAAACTTGAAGTTCTCGGTCAGTGTTATTTATAATTCATGCATTGAGTACATCCCTCATTCAAAACCTTAATTTAATTTTTATAAAACCTTAGAGGCATTTCTTTAAGAACACACTTCTTACAACATAGATCTCTCAGTCCAAGATCTTTATGAGAGTTAGGATGCAAGCAAGACAAATCCTGGGGGTTTTGTAAGCCTTCCTGCCAACGATTAAAGCCAGTAGACTTCTACCATAAAATGTTTTACTGGCTCTTACAGATGACCACAGTCCACTGTAGAATCATTTAATATTCATGATATGTCACATATTTTGAATATTTAAATATACCACACTACATACATATAAACATAACCTTACTTGAAAAAAATTGGATAATGGATTTAGGCATACCCCAAAGTGTTAAGGTCTTTCATCACTTGGACAAGTCTGTGGGGAAAACTCCACTTTGAAACAATGTTTTTGTTAGCATGTGACTCAGAATGACAACTGTCTCCTAATACCCACTGCCTACTTCTTTTTATTGATAGAATCCTTGAATTTTATGGGATGAATGGCCGCAAAAAACTATATTTTCAGGCCTTCCTTGTAGCTAGGTATGACGGATGGGATGTGAGTAGAAACCAGGAATACCTGTGATTTAAACTCTTAATACTAATACATGTGGCTCAGTCACTTCTGTGACTGAGGTGAGAACATGCTTGTAGGAGAGAAGTCTGTGGCTTGGTGAGTGTGCATGGCCAGCAGTCTCCAATCTGTGCAGGTATTAATGTGTCAGGGCTAAGTGTTCCAGGATTTCTCTAGAGGCTGGCAAGGGCTCCTGAAGCAGTTGTCATTTCCGTCTCACCAGTATATCAGGGTTGGAGAAGTCCAAGCCTTAGAACCCTATTTTCTTTCTATCTGGTGTTTTCCTGCCAGAATACCATGGGCTGTAACTTGTTTTGAGTTGGAAGCAGTTTGCATGTACACTTGTAAATTTATTCATCCTTTTAATTTATGCAAGGTTTATTTTGCCCACAATTCTCAATCCTTTAAGCAATGACGACAAATTTTGGTTTTCTATTGTTATGTGAGAACATCAGGCCACAGCAACATGCTATTGTGTAAGGAAAAATAAACTGTTGCAGAAAAAAAAAAAAAAAAGTCAGAAGTACAACCTCCAGGGAGTGCTCTTAAAGAGAACGCATATGCATCTTCAGACATATTAATGAAGCCAAAAATCCAGGGATAACAGAGGTATCAGACAGAAGTTTACATCTCCCTGACCCAACAATCTAAACATAAGAAACCAGGACTGCTACAGCAGCTTTGTTGTGTCAAGGAGCTCCTTCTTTCTTAAGCCACTATACTTTGGTATCTCTTAACCAGAATATAGGTTAGGTTGCTATAACAAATACAGCACCATAATTCCAGCTCTTTCACTTTATAGCTGACCTATCTTGGACGAATTACTTAAATTCTATAAACTTACACTTTTGTCTGTATCTGCTTCACAGGGTTGTTGTCAGCAACATGAGACTGTGTCTTTTTTGGGGGAGGTGAGTGAGGGTCTCATATCCCCAGCTTCTAGCACAGTACCTGCATATAGTAAGCATTCAATAAATACTATGCTATTACTGCTGATCTTACTCACATGCCAGATCTAGACAAATAATGCCAGACCTTCACAACTACCAGCCAGTATTTCTAATAAAGATCTGATATAATATAAATAATCAACATGGTATGCGTTAGAATGATCACATTTTCTGACCTAAATCTTAGAAAACATGGTCTGACAAAAGATATTTTCTGACTTGTGAATTTATTTTTATGAAAACCCTTATATGTAGAACCACTGGTCATCAAATTAATGAATTGACTTAACTTTTTTAAGTGATCCACTTGAATTGGGCAGTACTGGAAAACCAAAGGCACATTGCCCAAGAGTACTGGCTGTGCCCCTGCCAGTTATTATTGCAAGCTTCCACTGTTCATGCATACACTGTAGAAAAGCCTGATTTTTATAACACATTTATGATTGTGAATTTCTATTGTAATAGTACAGATTCTCAAGAAAAATAATTCTTCTGTTTTCTCAAAGGAAGATGGGCACTTTTTTTTGCTTCTACAAAAATAGCATGGATGAGAGTTTTCAGGAAAACACATTTCTCCTATTGAAGAGCACTTAATAAACACACACCTGACTGCTTTCATTTCACCACAAGTGGTGCCCATTTGCCAGTCATCGAAGTAATTCAGTCTGCTCTGTTGAGGTGATGGATTCTACAAACTGTATAAGACTGTCAT